GCTCTTCTACTTTAAACAGGGCCAATCTATCCACTTGGAATCAGCTGGTCTGTCCCACAAAGAAAAGATCTTCATGTCCCCAAGATGAAGTAATCTAATGTGGGCACAGCAGACCCATCTTTTTGGGGTCCTTTTCCCTTCAAGATGCCAGACACAGGCATAGCTATGGATGCTTGACAGTCCAGCCCTAGAAGTTGGTAACAATAGTCTTAACTGATGTATCTGGAGCATCAGAAAACTCAGCAATAAGGAAAAATGTTTGTGACTGCACATGGCAGAAAACCTAACTTATGGGTTGTGGATAATAATTGATTTGCAAGATCTTCCAGGATTACTTGCAGCCCATGGGGAATTAAGGAGTTAAAATACCAGACTGAGAAACAGAAAACATGCAAGCTGTGGAGAACACACTTGTGAGGCATTTTTTAACAGGCCACTAAAAAGCTGAAAACCAGTGGCCCAAAGCTATGGCAAAAAGAAGCTCCAGGGACCAGCACAGCACCAGCAAACATGCCCAGGATGCAGCCAGCATTCATCTACAACAAGCGACGGCCACATCTCCAGTTCCTCTCCAGTTACTTGTCACAGCTTGTTCTGTGCTGAAATACCTCAAAACACTCCACAGAGAGAAAATATAGTAACAGGGTGTTTTTCTATGGGACACGATGCCAAATTCTCTACAGGTAATTTTCAAGAAACCATCCTCCACACTATCTGATCTGCAGACAGGAACTTATACCACAATGTACATCGTTTCTGCAACACAACCACCTACCCTGGTTTTGTTTTACACCACACAAACTAAGTTCCGTTCAAACACTCAGTGTGCACGTGTGCCTGGAGCGCTGACCACGAACGTGAGAGAAAACAGCCACTCACGAGATGTACCAGTGCAGCACGTTGTGATTCCAGTCCCATTGCAGGACTTGTCCCAGACGCTCTCTCCCTTACCCAAAATAAAACAGTGCACTGACCGAGAAATGAAGCCACACACACACACACACACATTCAGAATGTGGCAGCATGCAGAACAGCAGGCAGTCCTGCCTCCTACGCCACTGTGGATACACCGACTGGGATCTTACCTGTTCAGAATGAAAGGCTTTGCACTGGTAAGTGATAATGGAGAATTATCGGATGATTGTATTGAATGGAGGGAGCTGGCTTGCTGCTGTTGCCACTGAGCCATTGTGACTGGTTCAGTCTAGTAGGAGGGTGAACCCCGTACTGGGTCATGTTCTCAGCTGAACGAGGTGGTGCTGACCTGGCTTCTGCTGCACACAGAGCTCTCACCACCCCAAGCGAGGATGTAATTCAGCAGAGTGCCTGGCAGCTGAATAACCAGAACACTGCAGATGGTAGGAGTACCAACAGCAGGATGGGAATAACCCAGGTATCAGCCACGTTCATCATATTCTCCTCCAGCCAACATTGCTAATCATTTATTTACAGGAACAACACAGCTTAAACTAGGTTTATTTCATCACCTGATAGCTGCTTGATGCCCAAGACAGCATATTCACATGTGCACATATTACCATACAGACTTCAGATGATTAAGGACATCACACAAAGGTAATTTAGTTTCAGAGGACACATACTGCTAATATGCAAACCCAGCTGTAGCCAAGGACACCCAAGGACTGATTTAAAGCCCAATAAACAATGTTGGAAGGAAGCGGCTTCAGCTCAGCTATCTTTTTGTACAAGGAGTGAGCAATGAAGTGAAATGAAACAGGCAGCATGCCCAGGAAAGGCAAATTCCAAAAAAGCCCTTACTTCTAGAAGAGCTGGTCACTAGCAAAACCCCCTTTTACCGCAGCGTTCTATACTTTGCCAACCTACTGCTCTGCTCTGCAGCGATCCTGCCAAAAGGAGAGAGGAAGAAAGGTTCAGAGAAGACAGGGAGGAGAAAAGTAGCCCTGCTCCAGGAACCAGAGCCAGCGACAGAAATGCAAAAAGCAAAACCAGGCCTTCTGGTAACTTCTGTAAAAAGATGGTTTACACAGTCCCCTTCCCACGCCCGCCAACGGCCTCCATAGTGGAACAGCAGCTTCGCCTCAAAGTGCGATCTAGTTAATTATCACCGCACTTCAACATCTGAGACAGGGTAGCAGCGCGTTAACAAAAAGATGTCTTTTTGAACTTTAAAGCCAGGTACAAAGGGTTTAACTTTAGCCTAAGGTAGAAGTTTTACTTTCAAATTTGCCATTGTAGTTGCAGCTTCATGTCATTTACAGCAAAAAAGCATACAGACACCCCCCGCAGTGTTTTGAAGTAGGAACCAACCACCTGCATTTATGTGCTAACAGAAGCCCTGGTTGAGCGAAGACACTTAGAAATAAGCTTCATTGTATTCTTTTTCCCTAAATCTGTATCCTAGGCAATCTGTAATTAATAATGATTTTATCATTACTCTTGAAATTAAAAAGGAAATATTATTAAATGATATAGCATACTCCCGTTGGCAACAAAATCCCAGTAGGAACTGTTATGCTAACAAGAGAAAGTGCCACAGCGGAGGGGGGCTGGACATCCAAGGGAGCAAGGCTGAGAAAGCTGCAAGGATGGTATGGAAAGGTCTGATTACAATAATCATTGCCCTGCTACAGCCATGCAAGTAGAGATGCTTTAAAGACAACAAATCAATGCAAAACTCCTGAAAATTATATCCTTGCGGGGTTTTTTTTTTACAGCTCTCATCCTGGTTTTAATACAGTGTAATCAAAAAAGTGAGAACCCAGGGATATCTATGCAAATAGGTATGCAAGGACAAACAACTCCCAGTGGGTCAAAAAGGGGAAAGTAAGAAAAGCGTGGATTTGATCGCAAAGCAGGTCAATAAGGTCATCTTCAAAGCCAAACTCGACATTAGTACAAAAGGACTGAAACTTATGTCTCAGATGGAAACCTCATGTGGCAGAAGTAAAGGAGAGGGAACGGTTCAACCTCTAATTAATGCACTGTATTGGAAGCTTGGGTCAGCACACTGCCTGCAGGCTACCTAAGCCATGGCACATTCATGAGACACTGCGTGGCAGAAGACCCAAGCGTGAAGAATCAGTCCAATGCCAGTACAGAAATAAATGTTGTCTCCCTAACATTTCCCAGAATTTTCCCTGGTTTTGCTTGCGTGTGTTGCCCTCTGTCTGTTGCTGCACATCTCCGATAAGCATCTGCTTCCCTTTTCTCTATAATCCCCCTTTCGATAGGGGAAGACAGCAGTAAGGTACCCCCACCTTACCTTCCTCCTCATAAAACTTATCTCACAAGCACAGCTACAGAAAAGCTGGGCCTCTTCTGCATTTATAGTAGCTTTCATTATCTAACAATATTGTAAGAGCTTGATATATCATGTAGTAAATTTTTTTAGTGAATGCCTTGCCAAATGTGGGTTTCCCCATGTCAAAGTGCACACAATTCCACCCTTTGCTTTCTCTGTGTGCCTGATCAACTTAGCAGGTGGCCACGTGGACCATTCCCTCTGAGGAGCAGTCAGCTCTATCTCAGCAAGAGCAGTTCATCCCCCTAGGTCAGTTCGAGCCCTTATTCTGAAAACAGGCACAAAGGTGGGACCCAGCAGCCCCTCCCCACACACAAGATCCAAGACCAAAAAGCAGCGTTCATTACTGTATGAGTTACCATCACACAATAGCATCAATGTGATCTCCTCCCCACTGATTTTAAAAGCGGCTCCCACCAACGCATCCGTCCCTGGCTTACCGTTTTACTGCTTTCTGAGCCAGCATCCTGTTGCCTGCCAGGAATGTGATGCCACCCAAAATTGCCAAGTACTTCAGAGTCTGGAACATGTTGAGCTGAGTCCAGTAGACATACATGAGTCCCAACATTGCTGTGACAAAAAGACAGAGCTCATGGCTGAAATTGCGTTTCAAAGACCAACCTTTCATTATCCTCAGGACAATTGTTAAGTGGTACTGCCAGGCCTAAGCATTGTGTTTCCACCTCATCTCTGAGATGGTAGATCTAGGACCATACGTTATCGCCATGGGAAGAAGGCATCTGGGTCTCCATAATGGAGAAAAACGTGACACTGATGGCTTGCAACCAACCCTCTTGTGGCAGAATTATGGACATATTATAGACACTACGGGCTATTAAAAGGAGGAGGATTCCCTGGATTTCAATAGAGGATATTAACCTTGTAGGGGCTTACAGCTTTATAAAGCTTCCAAGGAAGCTGGTTTGGATTAAACAACACACTGCCATTTCGGATACAGTATATCAAATGTTCTCCCAACCTACTATGTTTCTGAAATTTTGTCAAGACAGTAAATAACTGTGCAACCAAGGACACAATAAAATTGATGAAAAAAATGGTCTAGCCAAAGAACGACAGCAGCTTTCACAGGAAGAGCTTTAAAGAAAAGATGTAGGCGGCAGTCCCGCAGGTTTCAATCCCCACAGAAACTCCCTGCTTACAAAGGATAAACACGCAATAAAGAAAGTGTGACCTCTGGAAATAAGAAATTCTATTAAGTACAGATAAATGGTGTGTGAGAGGGGCCCGGATAATGACCGCTGTTATAAGCTGATGGCCAAAACAGGTTTATCACCATATTAACAATCATGAAAAGCAGGAAGGCAGATGAAAACAAGAGAACAAATGTTATGCTATTATGTCATTATAGTTAATAGACCACAAGCCCATTAACCACCAAGGCTCTCATCTGTAACTCCCAGGTGAGAAGGTCAAACAGAGCAGAAAGCCTCTGACACTTACCGGCATGTCCCATGTGAAAAACAATGGTGCTGGGAGCAAAGCTGAAGTTGGAGATGTTGGCACCTATCTTTAGCCACTAAAAGGAAAAGAAACAAAACCTGAGTTACAACAGCCTTGTAAACACAAGCTTTTATTTTAAACTTCAGCATCTTTCAAGCCCATTTGCTTTAGTTCTTCAATGAAGACAGTGTATTTTCTACAGAAGCACTTGTTTACTACTACAAGAGGACAGAGCAGTAATTTTGCTAAAGACTGCACTGTTGAGCTCCTGTAGTGAACACTTCTGCTGCTTCTGACTGACCACAGGCAGTTCCTTAATTATCTTTCTTAAACCGATGAGAGGGAACTGCTCCAAATCTACATTTTCCAGAAAAAATAAACACTGCGATTTCTATCCAGCTGAATTAATTTTAATTAAAAAGCCCAAAAAAATAATATAAGGTTCTAGTTTTGGACTCAGCAAAAGAACAGCTACAGATACAAGATGCATGCTCAAAAACAATTTCAGTTTTTAGAGTACGAAAGAGAAAGGCACGAAGGATGGCAAACAGGAGCAGTAGCAATGAGATTTTTCATTAGTGTCATCAACACGTACATTTTGAATTCCAGAGACCAGTGGACATGACTATCTGAATGCCAGCTTTCAGTGAGACTAGCTAATGGGAAATTACTGCCAAGTGAGTAAGGGACCAGTTGCATCCTCCAAATAAGGAGTAATTTAACTTGTGTAGATGAGATTTTGTATTGCGTTAAGTTCAAAACAATGATGTAGTAACACAGATGACGTGATGGATATATTAAGTGCGAGGAAGAATCACTGCTTTTTTTCCCCTGCAGAAGACTAATGTTAGTTATAACTTCAGCTGCCCACTGTTATTCATCATCCCAAGCAGAAGCACACTGGAGAAACTCACCCCACCTACTTCTACTTGGCAGCAGTGTTTTTCTGTTTCGACTATAAACTCAAAAAAACCCCCAACAGTTTAGGAAAGACAATATGAGACCAACGCTCTGCACTCACATGTACTAGCTACGACTGCAGCACTGCTGCGCTACTCATGATTAACAAAGAATTTTAATAAGAAGCGTAGCTGGCCAACCTCCTAAGCGACCTTGGACTGGATGGGAAAACATTTTCTTCTGTGGCCCAGTTCACTCACCAGAATGAGCAGCAAAAGCAGAGGGGAGAGAATCAATGCTGTGAAAGTGTTAGATACCACAGTGGGAGGCCTCTTCTCAGGTTCCCTGAAGAGATGCTGCAAACAAACAAAACCAACTCATAAGTAGAGTATTGTACCTGTATTCCAACAGAGCAGCTTCTCAGCTCCCCTGAGGACCAGCTGCAGCCCTGGTACTGTTCCCAGATGTTCCTTTGGATGATAAGCATTCCTCTTAAGGCAAAGACTGACTCTTTAAAGTAGCATCTATTCCAGTCTGTGCACATCTTGCACAGTTAACTTTTTTCTTGCACTCACAGAAGCACTTGTGAGCTTGTCACCAGCACAGATGGCTGGAATGGAGCAAGAGAAATCTTCGGAAGCAGAGAGTTTTCTGTGGTGCTTACTTAGTCAAATTTACATATTTGAATCTTCTCAGTGACACCAGTTCCTCTCTTACAGGTAGGACACACAGCTTATTCATTCATACTCCAGACAACTGCAACAAATTTCTTTCCATTAAGCAGTAACTCTGGTCTTCCTTTAATTACATTATTTACACAGTATTAATTTTTTTAATGAGAGATAACTTTTCAACAGTAAACTATGATGAGAACAAATAATACTAGTGTGACTAGCCCCCCATCTTTGCACATAATTTTTGGTTTTGACTGTACCTGGATTTCAGGTTTGGGAACAAAGAGGTTCTTGGACTGGACTGTGGATGGCGCATCCTCTTCTGGGAATTTGATCACAACATCAGCCTGAAATAAAATTGTGCAGCTTCATGAAGTTTCATCTTAATGTATTAAAAGTTTTATAAAACCTATTCCATTACTGTGGCCTATTTCCTTATTTGTCATTCTACAATTGACATGATTTTTAAAGAAAACTAAGAAAAAGCCACCAGATTTTTAAGAAGCAATTTCTCCTAAACAGGGACAGTAATGCCATTCCCCAATCACTAAGAGCTGGACTTACTTCCAGCATAGCAAGCACAGAAAGGCCAAACCTTGGAGTCCTTGCTGTGAAATTACAATCAAACCAACAAATGTTCTGAAGTTTCTGTTCCACCACATGATGAAATGAATGTTCACTTCAGTCTTGCTTTGATGCTTACTTAAAAACTTAAAATGAACAGCAAACCTCAGAGTCCATAAGTGGCCAAAAGGATTCTGCTTCACTACAAAGAACAGAGACATTTGAGCTTTTTTTCTCCCTTCCAAGCCCGTACCATGCCCTCCTGTTAGACTGCCAGTAATCTCAAAACCACACCGCCATGCTTCCAGCTACATACCACGTTCCACAGGATTGGGTTTTCCAGAGTGGCATCTCCAATTATCAAGTAAAGAGTGTAGGTACCAGAGGCAGAGTCGAATTCAGTCTTTCTTTCAGAGGTATCCAGTTCAAACTTATATACATTCTTGCTATCGGGTTCTGCAACAAACACTACCTCCTGGCCAGTCTTTTGGTTGTGAAGTCGGACAAAAGTCTGAAAGGGAAGATCGTAATGTTTCTGGAATATCTCATAGCGTGTTTACAAATGCCAATGAAATGAGAGATTTAACCCCAAATCAAAAAGCACAACATTAACAAGAGTCGGATATAAACTGGCAGCCCAGGTGTCTAGATCCCTGCAAATCAGCAAAGTTCAATGTCTCTTCGAGTAACTACACCAACACAGGACCAAGACCGTCCAGTGGCCCACTTGGGATACAGGGCAGTACACTGAATGTTCCTCCATATGGTATATGCAACAGCACATAACAGGGATGGATGCATATATGGGGCTTGTTGGGTTTTTTTCCCTTTTTTTCTATTTTATAAAGAAAAATTAAAATTTTAAAGAAGTCTACATTCAAGGACTTTTTGAGCAAACAACTTATATTAAAAAAACAGAAGTGTACTTTTTACAGTGCAGGCTACCTGCACTCATTTTGTTGAGTTAAATAAGACACAGCGCCAGAAGAGGCTTCATTTCACATACAGTCGAAACAAATGAACTGAATCCACTTCCCATCTACCAAGATCAGAGATCTTTCACAGTCTGTGTCAGAAACATATGGCTTCTCAAAACCTATCAGATCTTTTCAAGAGCAACTGTCACCTCAGATGCTTCAAGACAGAACATTTCAGTGACACAGCAATGATAAGAATTTGTCCTAACCTGGTGAGGGATAAGTTCAGCTCCACTGTTCACATCTATCAGCTGGAAGGATAAAGCAAAGTTCTGATGGCTGTCAGCAGTGAATGAGCCCTTGGCTTTGGCTGGGTAAGCTACCCTAGGAGGAAAAAAAACCAAACAGAACTGAGGTGATCTTCCAAGAAAAGCTCTGGTTTTCAAAGAAACTGAGGCATGCAAGTGTATCTAGCAGTACTGCAGTCTACTCATCACAGATGAGCTATTTTATCAGAGACAGGTGAACTAACGTGTCTTTCTCTTCCACTGTAAGAGTAATGAAAAGAAATTAATGGATTTTTTTTTAGTAGGGTTTTTTCTGAGCTACATACCTTGCCCGTTTTCAAGTAAAACACTTGTTTGTTGTAAGGTTCAAAGGAACACCAGAAGAAAGTTTTGCTAGTACCATGCCCCACATTCCATTTAGCCAAGGCTATGCTACAACCAAAGGTGTGATGGCAGCAGAACAGAAAAAAACAGACACTCAAACCAGCACAGGAAGGCTGTATCACACACACAGAAGGACCTCAGTGAGGCTGTGTGACCTATGTTAAATCCCATACATTACATTCTAATTGACGTCAGTTAAAAAAACCCAATTACATTAAGTTCAAGTACCCCTAGCAATGGTACAGCCACACTCCCAAATACAGCGTACATGTTGCTTCAGAGCATCTCTGCTGAAGCCCAATAATACCAGAAACATTAACACAATTCTTTTAACTTGCTTTTGCTATGGTGTCAACAAAGGAACAGAAACCTTGGGTTGTCTGGCTTCTGTTAGTACTTATGTCAGTACTAAGGAAAATCACCTATAAAATTCTCCCAGTGAACTCACAGGTTTAAGAGAAACAGCATGGGTGTAACTCTGTAGTTATTCCAATACAAGATTCCTCTGGTTTAGCTGAGGTAGATAAAGCTCAGAAGAGCTGCAGCCTAGAGCCAGAGTTGGCCCTGAAAGGATCACATACACAGCGTCATTTTACCTGGTTGTTTTTGGCGCAATGCTCTGATCTTTATCAACAGTAGAAAGATCTACATTAGTAATCCCAACTTCTGTTGAAACTTTCACTTTCAGCTGCAACAAAACACAATAGAAAATTAGTCAGAGCACTCTACATGTACTAATTATGGTCAAGTTCACTGCAGACACTTTAGCTCTTCTGTCGCATTCCCCAAAGACGGTCCTACACTAAGCCAAAGACAGAACCTAACCTGAACAGAAGGATCTACAGAAATTTACTTTCTGGCAACGCTCCTGCATCAGTCACTACCCCTAACCTATCCCCTTCCTCCCTGTGCATGCAGCCAACTTCTCAGTCATGTGGGAGTTTGCTGCCCTTTGGAGAACTGTTTGTAATGAAACAGTCCAACTATCCAGATCCAACTCATTTTCTTTTTAAACTAGCAAAAACTATCTATTAAAGATTACATCATATATGATACAACTTAAAACTGCATATGTATATGTACTTCTACTTGCTAGATAGCAATTTGAGATGAGGGAGGTCTCCAGACAGCAACCAGCTATGCCTTTGCTGGCTCCTAAAGCCTAACAGGTTTCTGCTCATTTTATTATC